CCTCAAATATTTGTGTAGGCACAAAAAAAAATGAAGCCGAAGGCTTCATTGAGGCGCGAAGCGCCGATAGGGGGTAGGTGCGGAGGGGTCACCCCCCTCCTGTAGCGTGCCTCAAATATATGTGTAGGCACTAGAAAATGAAGCCGAAGGCTTCACTGAGGCGCGAAGCGCCGAAAGGGGGGTAGGTGCGGGAGGGGGTCACCCCCTCCTGCCAGGGGGGTTTGGGGGACCTCCCCCGAGAAAATTTTGAAAAATAGACGCAAAAGTAGCACTTTGGAAAGAAGAAAATTGTTAATTTAAACAAAATAGGTATGCTTGTTAAAGTTATTTAATTGGACATTTTGGGAATTTCACCTATTAAACAGTCAGATCTAGTAAGTTTTTTTAAAGCAAACTCTTATAGATTCCAAAGATATATGTCACCTCAATAGAAGTTGAAAAAAAAAATTCTAAGTAGATTTTTTTTTTGGAGGAAACCTCTCCCCGTGATTTGAATATTCATTTTGGAAACGATTATACATATATAGGCATTTTAATTATTTGTTATAGATTTGAATAAACATTTTCAAAAAATAATATAACTAAGTAATATGTCGTCACTGTTTTGTAGAAACAGATAAATTTTATACACAAGAGAGAGAGAGAGAGAGAGAGAGAGAGAGAGAGAGAGAGAGAGATGGTCTCAGTCGATTCCGTCGTATCCTGTGTCAAACAAATTTTAAAGTTTTTAAATATACTAGCTAGTATCAGGAACGCTGCTGAGCGAACGGGAAAATGGAAAGAACGTTTTAAGGGTTTGAAACTATGTGTAAGTTTGATACTAAATTTCGGTTTAATTTAAACGACAACAAATTACACAACAGTAAAGTGGTTAATTGGGATTAAAACAGCAAAAGGTTTCTACTTTGTTGTGAGAAACTCGATTTTTCATAATTTGTCAAAGATTGCAGGAATGTCCCAGGGCATCTTTAATTGTATGCGGTACTCAGTTTGACTGCTAACGCCACTAAACGAAACAAGACTGTAAATTATGTTTTACAGCTATAAAATATATATGTACTGAATTGTGCTGAATTTTATTATTTTTAATTTTAGTCATTATTGACAAATTAATATATCACATTTATTTTATTTATTTTTTTTTTAAATATGACCCTATATTTTGCCCAAAATTATGTGTAGGCATTTACCTTTTTAAGCGGTTAGCTTCGCTAACCGCTTTATGGCACGTGTCCGATTTTTATCGACACCGGAAACTTCCATAAGGCGCTACCTATCGACAACGGAAACTTCAACAAAGCCTCTACCTAGTACCTATGTTTTGTTTCTAACACATATAACATATGTTAAATAAAATCAAGACTATCAAAACAACATAATCTTTCGGTTTTTTAATTTTTTTCTGATTTTGTTTGTCAATGAAATAAATTTATAATTGTTGTATTAAAAAAAGTTTATGTATAGGAGCATTTGGTGTCGAGATTAAATTTCCGTGACGTCAGCTGATGGCGATCGGGCCCTGTGACGAAATTCGAAGTCAGCATGAAGTTTAGCTGATAACATTATCAACGCGTTAGATTTAAACTTTAGGAAGAAATGTATAGCGAGAAATATCATATTTGAACCCAATGCTACACGAAAACCAGTAGGCATTTCCGATTTATGTGTTAAATTGAAGCCTGAATCGAACAGGGGATCAAAATGGCGTTGGACACCTTGTGTATTTATATATAGAGGGGGTAGAATGTTTCGATATTTGACTAATTTAGAGACTTACTGATAAAAATGCAGGTGCTTGTGATTAATTATAGGGCACCCCTCATGAACAATAAATATTTGACCGAATTATGCTACTGGGCACAGGGAGGACGGGTTAATTACTGGCTAAAGGGGTTGAAGGTTATTACCGACTGCAAAACATCGGAGAATCTCTCGATCGAGTTTCATTTTCCAAAATATTAAGGCATCCCTTTAATTAATTTAAGTAATACTAGTACACGAAGAAAGCCTTTATATAAAAATACTGAATACATCTGTAAGTTGTACAGTTATGGATTACTTCCATAATGAAACGTTTGTTTTCTTCTCCATTTTTCTCAATTTAAATTAATTAAAAGATGATAAAAGATTTGTTTACAGGGATCAATTCTGTAATCAGTCTAATTATTACAAACGATTTTAAACGATCACATTTTTATTTAAAAAAAATAATGGGAGCCTGAAAATACAAAAATTAAATTTAAAAAATTGGAGAAAAAAATTTAATCGGCATTCGATCCTTTTCTAAAAATCAGCCGATATAAAATATGCACAGAAAAAAGAGGCATGAAAAATCTTGACGATAAGCACAAATTGAAAATTATATCTAATGAATGATTATTTTTGAAAGTTTGCTAAATTCCTATGCAAGGTATAAGTTGTAAAAATACTTTTTGAATTTGAATTTGTCCAGTTTGTTAATTATCATTTTGAGCCTTTGAGAAGAAATAAAAATTAAAATACAGATGCTTACAGACATATTGATAGAAATTCGCATACTTGTTTTCAGTAAAAAAAAAAAACAAAAACAATGTATTGCTTATGCGACATATTGAAGAAAGTGACAATGATACCTAGGTAATTCTTGCAATGGACAATTAAATTGTTTGTTATACACTGACTTTTAGTGAACCTTTGAATTTTTAAAATACTAGTATTGATGGATTAAACAACAACTTTCCTTTTCACAGTTTTTTTTTCAATATTTCATGAAAAAAATATTTGCCAAATACTCAGTATATGTTCGTTTATACATATCGTGCAAGACTCTTTTTTAAAATAATTGTCATATACCATTTACTTATTCGAACATTTAATTGTATGAAAAGTCAATAATGTACATTTCTTAAAACTTTATTATATTGTTTACTTGTCTTTCTTCCTGTGAGAGAAATAGTTCATAATATTAATAAACAGATGTACTCAGTATCTGTATCAAAATACAGAATGAACAGTGATCGGTCTCAAAAGAAAAACGGATCCTTGAAAGTTCCGGTGCCTAGGAGAAGTAAGCATCCCCAGTGACAGGTCACACCTGCTGACCCGCAGTGAGCCTACGAAACTGAAGCTCTCTGAAATTAATTAATTCTCTGCTCGTCCATCCGTTTCTCTCAGACTAGCCAGCTAAAGATCTATGTACAGTACTCCAAATCAATTAATCTAAAGAATTTGAATTATCATTTTATTTTCTTTTTGAGTTGTTTGCTATAGTAGCCTTTACAGTTACCTAATTTCAGAATCAATAGAGCATGAAAGCCAATTAAATTTGCAACATCAACATAATTTTTTTTTTCGTTCTGAGCACTTTTGGACGCCACCAATGGAGACAATTAGGGAGAAATTTTTGAAATTGAACTTCCTGTCTTTCAAACTGAAAATCTCAGGTTGATATTTTGAAACAAACATTTGTGACATCAGTCTGGGATGTTATTGGTTATACCATTTAGTTAAGTACTACAAAATTCAGTGTGTCTGCTTCTTCGCTGATGACATTGGACAAAGATATGCATGCTTACTTTAATATCATCATTCAATGCATTTTTTGTTATTGTACACTGCACATATTCGATGAAAGCATGCTAACCGCTTTTCAGTACTTTCAGTACTTTGATTGCCTTAATGGACGCTACGCCACTGGACTATATCCACCCTCACAATTTTATGGGTTCAAAGTAAAAAAAAAAATGCATTTATTTCCACTAAAAACCGGTACCGTTTAAACAGATTAATAAGTAATTCTAGCGCTCTCTACATTCAGATGGCAGAATTCCCGCCATTTGATCTCATATTTCAGTTGAACCCTTTTGACAAAAAACGAACAAGAACTGGGTAATGCAATTCCATCTGCAGTTTTATTTAAATTTAAGTGATTGTTTTATTCAATAACTAATCAATACATAAAATGAAATATTTTTTCACAATTTTTGCCAAAATTTGTTCTTCGCTTCTGCGATTTTACCAAATATTGCTGTTGCATAGAAAATTCGATTGCCATTTCTTTCGATACCAATTAGTATGTTTTCGGGAGTATGTTCTTTTTGCCACGTAAATATAGTCAACTGATCACCAGCAAGACTCTCCCCCGCATAAGTAATAGTCCATTGTAAGGAGAGGTATAAACACATATCTCTTGTGTAATGTTCATAATACCCATTCAACGAGGCACTCGTCTCTGCGTCCATTCAAAAACGTAAATAGGAGGATTGATTCACGTGGCCATTGTAATCCTCATCACTGTGCCCTGGAATGACGTCATATTTAACAGCATTCTTGGGAATTTCTGGAAGATCTTCTTTTTCAGTACCGGGATGTCCAGGGGTATTCATGAAAGCTGCATACTTTTTGTAGAACCATTCAGGAAATAAAGACAACCGCCTCGTTTTCCTATCTATTCTCACCATTTTTATAATATTTTCTCCAAGGATGTCCTCTGTGGTTTCGTCTTTTAACTCAATAGTAAAAATAAAGGAAGTTTGCTTCAATTGTTTAAGTTTGAAATCAACTTTAAATGTCCTTGGTGATGTGAAACTCACTTTATGCACCTTAGGATCTAAATTCAGCTGTTGCTTGACAAAGGCTAATGTATTGTCTTCGTCCATAAACTCACTTTGGAGAGCTACTAGGCTTGCAGCTTCAAACATTTTGGCAATGCACCAAATAGCCCTGTGTCCTATCAAATTGAAGATTTACACAGCTTTATATATATGATAGTTTTGACTTTAAAACTCAATTAAAATTGAAAAATAAATATAAGGATATATAACACTTGATTAAATCGTAAATTGTTTGCAAACATCACATGATTATGAGTTTTAGAATATTAATATACCGGGTATTAATTAAAATTTCTAAATTTCAAAAACTCATACTCATTTGGTATATTGAAAATTAATATTTTACTTCAAAAGTCTAAATTATCAAATTTCCAAACAGGTTTTAGAATTTTAATGTTTTGGATTTTTGCCTGAAATATTCAAAATTGAAACTAAAAACGATTTTTGCATTCGAAACTGTTGAGTTTTTTTTTCTGCCGTTTATTCAGAAAGTTTACACTTAACTGTCCAAACTTCTGAAACATATTTTGATTATTTAAAATTTACTTTAATCTTCTAAATTTCAACATTCAAACGTTTTAAATTTTTAGAAATTTAGAAATTTGATTCAAACACTCAAATTTTAATATTCTAAACCACTTTACACATTCCGATGGCAGAATTTCTGCCATTTGATCTCATATTTCAGTTGAACTCTTTTGACAAAAGAAACCAGCAAGAACTGGGTACATGGAATGCAATTCTATCTGCAGACATATTTAAATTTTAGTGATTGTTTTATTCAATTATGAATCAATACACAAAATAAAATATCTTTTCACAATTTGTGCCAAAGTATTTTCTCTTTTGCGATTTTACCAAATACTGTTGATGCATAGAAAATTAGATTGCCATTTCGTTCGATAGCAAATTGTATGTTGTCGGGAGTGTGTTCTTTTTGCCATGTAAATATAGTCAACTGATCACCAGCAATACTCTCCCCCACATAACTAATAGTCCATTGTATTGAGGGGTATAAACACATATCTCTTGTGTAATGTTCATAATACCCATTCAACGATGCCCTCGTTGCTGCGTCCATGCAAAATCGAATATATGAGGATTGATTCAGGTGACAATTAACATCCTCGTCGCTGTGCCCTGGAATGACGTCATATTTATAAGCATTCTTGGGAATTTCTGGTAACTCTTCCTTTTCAGTACTTGGATGTCCAGGAATATTCATGAAAGCTGCATACTTTTTGTAAAACCATTCAGGAAATGAAGACGACCGCCGCGTTGTCCGATTTATTCTTACTATTTTCATAAAATTTTCTCCAAGAATTTTCCCTGTGGTCCCATTTTTTAAATTAGTAACTATTGTGAAGGAAGTTTGTTTCAATTGTATAAGTTCTACATCAAAGTTTAATTTCATCGCTGGTGTTAAACTCGCTCTTTGTAACTCAGGATCTAAATTCAACTGTTGCTTGATAATGGCTAATGCATGGTCCTCGTCAACTATTTTTCTATAGTCCACGAACCCAGCAAGAAGTGAGAACAAGCGTGCAGCTTCAAACATTTTGGAAATACTCCAGACAGCCCAGTGTCCTATTCAAATTGAAAACGGTTTGCATAACTACAGGTAAGCTGGTTTCATTTGTATAGCATTTTAAAAAATATTTGAATTTATGTTAACATCTCACAGTTTATTATTTTTTTTATGGTAATACAGCACAATTATTAATAAGATCCAATGTGTGCCATTTAATAAATCTTGTATACCCTTATGCTCCGACGTTATAATGTTAACATCATTATTAAAAAGATTTAATAATTTATAAAAAGATTTAGCAAAATTTCAATAATGATATTTCTTATAAAACAAATCTAACCTGTTCTGTCGATATCGGAGTACGGAATCCCTATAAAAGTCAGTGAGGCTGTTGGCCCACTAATACTGGTAATCCTCGACTGAGACATTTTGTCGGATTGGATTTAGCAACACCTATATAGTCTGTCAGAAATAAAAAAGAAATAACTAAAATAACTATATTACATTTTTTTTATTTTTATGATTTTTATTATTTAGATCTATATAATTTCTAAAACCGACAAAAAATGCATTCCAAAGAACAAGGTGAGCAGGGTCTGAAATATTACTTGAGTATAGGTGTTACAACAGTATTTTGTTTATGGATCTATTCTGCATAAAATGCTGAGGTGTCACACATTTTTACGGAAGTCTTCTGGTTTTATCAATCGAAACATGCATGCACACACATATTACTCCACTTATACCCCATACCATTTCATATATTTACATTTTAAATCTTTGTGTATTGAAAATTCTTTTAAGAAATATTTTAAAAAGTTCAATTTCATATTAAACGTTTTAATAGTGAAAAAATCTATTTATTGTCTATGAAAAGCTAAGTCAGAAGCGTTTGAGGTGCAGACAGGGGTTAGACAAGGCTGTTTGTCGTCAACAATGACGTTTCTAGTGGTAGTGGACTGGATCATGCGGGAAACAACTAGAGATAGCAAGAGAGGAGTCCAGTGGAATTTCACTCAGTGTTAGGAAGACCTCGACTTTGCATACGATCTCTGCCTTATTTCCCAGAAGTATGAGCATATGCAGCTCAAGACATATAGGCTTAAAAGCTTGCAAAGGAAGAAGAGCAAAGACAGGTCTATAGTTGAACAATGACAAGACAGAGGTAATGCGACTCCACAACAAACAGCAAGCACCGATCACGCTTGGAGAACACAACCTGAAAGATGTAGACTCCTTTACATACTTCGGCAGCATCGTCAAAGCCATTGGTGGAACAGATGAAGACATAAAAGCAAAAATTATTAAAGCGAGTCACGTCTTCATCAACCTCAAGCCTGTGTGGAGTTCAACAACACTGTCCACACGCATAAAACTTCGTATCTATAACATCAATGTTAAGTTTGTGCTCCTCTCTACTGGTCTGAAACATAGAGAGTCACCAACACCACCTCCAAAAAACTACAAATCTTCGCAAACAGATGTCTGCGCCACATAATAAGCATCAAGTGGCCAGAAAATATAAGCAACAAAAACCTGTGGGAAACAACAAATCAAGACCCAATCACTGAGCAAATACCGTAAATCTGGAAATTTTTACTGTAGATAAATTTTTAGCAAATTTGCGCGTGCAATGCGTTCGCAAAAATATTTTTCTTAAAAATAAATCAACATGTAAAGAATTTTTTTCTTTGAAAGTTGGTGTCTATTTTTAACTCAGTGAAAAGGCGTCGGTAAGCACTGGTCATTTTTAAAAAGAAACCTGTTTTAATTACTGTAACTACAAGCTAATTACCATACATGTAAATTGCCCTCATTATATGTAATATCGTCCGATGGTTTCACAAGCACTGGACGGTGTGTCCCTTTTTAATAATTTTGCCAAGAAAGAAAGACCAGTTATTTTATCCAACCATGTATCAACACGGGCGATAACTCGAGCTCAGTGCTTTTACTAGAGAGTTCCAAATGTAAACACGGCGTGTTAATTTTAGGTGAGAAAAAAACCAAACGTTGAGAAAATTATTTATATTTTTTTCTTGATTTGGATTATATTTTAGGTTAAAAGACATAAACAACCTCTAAAAGGTTTGTTATAATTAATTTAGAAGTTATTTTCAGTGCAAATCCTTTTGTATTTTTATCTTCAAAATTGTTTCGGAGCGATTCTGCAATTTCTTGCCACGTTGCGAGTATATTGGTGGTATTCTAACTGTGCATACTAAATTGAAACATAAACTGATATTAAAATCTTAAGTGATTTTTATTTTTAACGCCAGTTACAATTCGCAAAATTTTAAAGCGTAAAAATTAATCAATAGCCTTTTGACCCGAATTCGCAAAAATAAATCGACGTAAAAATTTCCAGATTTACGGTAGCCTGTAAAAAGAGGCGATGGATTGAGCATACCCTCCGAAAACCATCGCGAGACATTACATGTCACGCACTCGATTGGAACCCCCATGACAAACGTCGAGTTGGGCGTCCCAGGACAACTTGACGAAGGTTATGTGAAGAGGAGACATAGCTGGGAAGAATTGTAAAAGGCTGCTCAAAACAGAGTGCGATTGGGGAATGTTAGCGAAGCCCTGTGTTCCACCAGGAAACAAAAGGAACCATGATGTCTATGAAAATAATAAGAAGTCTGTTTACCTTCCATACTTAATTGCCTTGTTTCTTAAAATATGCCCACTAACACATATTTTTCTGCTTTGTATTTTTTCAAATACTTAATACTTTAAATTAAGTTTTTTTTAATTGTTAAATTTACTTCGCTGTATTTGACAGGGAATAATTCAGAATTCTATGCTTGATTCCAAACTTTTGACATAAATATTGCAAACTTGAATGCTATTCGTATTTTTAAAAAAAACTAAAATGTATACAATTTTACAAGCAATGGGTATACATAAAAGATTCTTTAAAGTTTGGCTTTTGACTTTTTACAAGAACCGTATGGACGTGTTTCAACGTAAGATATTCTATTTCTTGTTTGATTTATTGGTGAAAAAACTACATTTAGTCGGCATTATTCCACAGTTCTGCAGATAAAAGAGCAAACAATTTAAAATTGTGGCGTAAATTTAACTTTTGAAAAATTATAGTTGTTTGTTTCTATGGCAACGACAGCCAACTATGGTGTTGGAAATTTTAACCCCTAGATTAAAACTCTGAAAACACATACAGTATTTATCCAAGCGCCTGTGTACTTATCATAATCACCCTTTTTGTTTCAACTGCAGCAATGAAAAACATGGACCAAATTTAAAGAACCAATTTTTCGCTTGCAAAAAAGTTGTCTGGAGATGAAAATTTGTCTAGAGATGTAAATGGAAACCCTTGATTTTTCGTTCCATAGACATAGCAATGAACACCTTTATAATTTTGATAAAAAAAATTCTATGTGTAATCTAGAGGTACTGTCAGCAATGAGCTCACTAAATTATACCCCCACCCTTCCTCGCCTGCCATATGGTTATAATGGCAGAGCCAATGATGTACACTGGGAGACCCGAAATAAGATCAAAAATTGAAAAATAGGATGTAAACAATGGTATTAGGGCTATTCCAGAAAAAAAATGTAGAGGGGGTTGGAAGGTACTTTTATTTTTACCCCACCACCCATACATTTTTAATTGCTTTCTCCCCCACCATCCATCAAATTAAAAATGCTTTTGATACAACCACCCATCTTAATTTAAAATAATTTTCTAGAGAATTGTGTTCTAAGTTATGTATATATAAAATAAAATTGTTGTACAGGAACTACTACTTTTTTCATGCATTTGCACTTTATGTGACTTGAAATGAATGTTAACTTTTAGGATCTATCCAAATCAGGGCCTTGTTTTAAAAAAACTTGATAAATATGAAAATATAAATGTACTGCAAAAACTTTCATTTCTTTTTCATTACTTTGAAAATGGTTTTAATCTTTTGTAAAACAGGTCACAAGGTTCCTGCTATAGCGAGCCTATAGGTTAAAAAATGTACCCGTTTAGGTATGTCACATGCCACTGAAAGCCCTGTAAAGTATAATGATTTGTATATATCCGTTCCTATGCTTGACTTTGCAATCCGTAAAGTTCAAGTAAAACTAATACATGTTAGGGTACAGAAATTATATTTCTATACTTAATAAAAGTATAATTATATTGTGAATTATAGCCTATCCTTACGTTGTTTAAACCTTCTTCACAACAAAAAATTCCCGTTTTGTTTTGGGTTTTTTTTTTGGGGGGGGGGGCACTAAAGTTGTGAAGGACATTGTCTAGTTAGTGAGAAATGTAAAGAAAAGAGATACGAAGTCTCAATCCCAATCCAGCCTAAAAACTACAGACACTTGTTGCTAAAATGTATTTTTCAATTCATTTTTTTTATTATGGGTTAAAATATATTCAAGGTAATACTCAACAGTAGGACTGGTATGTAATTGACATAATTATTTTATTGTTACAAACTCATATCTGAACATTATTTTACTTCGTATTTAGTATAAGGTTAAATATTGACTTGCAGTTGCAAACCCCATAAACATGCCCTTAAAATAAAATGTTTATTATCAGAAACTTTTTTCTACTTTCGGTTTGAAATAAAACAATCTCTCTGATTGTTTATCATATCATTCAATTTACCAATGTAATCACGTTTGATTAAACTGCTGGAAAGAAACTTGAGCACAGAGTCCAGAAAACAAGAAAATCGTGTCCCAATCCTCCACTGTCATTACAGTCATGCTTCTACATTTATCTGCCCTTGCTTCGATTCTACTTTCACTTTCATGGTAAACACACTTTACAAATATTCCGGACGAGCGTTTTTTTTAAAAATAAATATCTATGATTACTGGTTTATACAAAATGATAGGAAAAAAGTTCTTTGCAGTCGATAATTTGTGAGGATAAGTGCAACCACCCATCTAAAAATATTTCGGTTGAAGACAACCACCCATGCAAATTTAATCACTCCCGTCCCCATTACCCATACAAAAATATATGAAGTGCCGTCCAACCCTCCCATACATTTTTTTTCTGGAATAGCCTTTATATAATAAGGAAACGGTGAAAGTATCATAAAATTTTATTCAGTGGTATAGGGGGAGTTCCGGATAAAAGTTGCAAGGATATCCTTCGATCTTTATTATAGAAATAGGCTGTGTCCATGTTTTGCTCTAGGAAACCCAAAATATGTGTCCGATCAAAAAATAAAATGGCATGTGCACAATAGCACAATATAACAAAGATTCTGTGAACGTTTCATTAAATTTCAATCAGTGGTAAAAGAGCTAGGAGGTGCGGATATAAGAGATTGGTACCCCAAAACGTAACACACGGACGTAAAGACAGACGGACGGACGGACGGACATCCCGATAACTATATACCCTCCCACTTTTCAAGCGGGTGTATAATGAATGCATCTGGACTTGGTTAATATCCATGAAGTTTCAACGAGATTGCACTTGCACCAAAATACAACAATAACAATGTTTAACCTGACTTCGTTCAGGCTGTTTTAAAATACCGGTACAGTTTGTGGAAAAGTGTATACTCACCATGGACCTGAAGTATACCAAAGCTAACTGGACTAGTTGACTTTTAATGTGTAACGCAAAAAGAGCTGTCTATCGTTAATAAGGTGATAATGTAGAACGAATCACGAGATTAAAGTTCAGAAACGAGTTATCTTCCTTTGTTTACGTTTTAGCTCACCTGAGCCGAAGGCTCTTGAAAGTGAGCTTTTCTGATCACATTTTTGTCAGGCGTCCGACTGTCTGTCTGTCCGTCCGTCTGTAAACTTTTCACATTTTCGACTTCTTGTTAAAATGAAGGGCCAAGCCTCCTTCCAAGGGGAATTTATGACATCTTTTAAAATCTTCTCAAGAACCATCGGGCTAGGAAAATAAAAAGGTAGTGTAGACTGAAGTTTGTTCAAATCATTTCCCCTGGGATAGTGTGGGGCCACGATGCACAATCAAAGTTTTACAGAGGAAAAATCCTGAAAATCTTCATAATTGGTCATATTTATATGAAAGCATCCTCAGATAGTGTAAATTCAATTTTTTCAAATCATGACCCCGGGGGTAAGGTGAGACCACAATGAACAATCAAAGTTTTACATAGGAATAGACATGAAAAGTCTTAATAACAGTAAAGCCATGATTGGCTAGATTTAAATGGAAGTATGCTTAGGTAGTGAAGATTCAAATTTGTTCAAATCATGACCCCCGGGGTTAGGGTGGGGGCCACAATAGACGATCAAAGTTTTACATTGGAATTTATAGGTAAAATCTTTAAAAATCTTCTCAAGAATAGCAAAGTCATGATTGATCATATTTATATGGAAGCATCCTCAGATAGTGTACAATCAAATTTATTCAAATCATGACCCCCAGGGGTAGGACAGGGCCACAATAAACTGATTACAGTTTTACATGAGAATATACATGTACAGGAGAAAAATTCTCTTCTCAAGAACAGAAAAGCCATGTTTAGCCATATTGATATGGAACCATCCTTAGGTAGTGTAGATTCAAGTTTGTTCAAATCATGATTCAAGGGAATAGAGAGGGCTACAATGGGGATGAAATTTTTACAAAGGCATATATAGGAAAACTCTTCTCCTTAGCAAAGCCATTGTTATTGGTATGGGAGCATCCTCAGGTAGTTTAAAATTCAACCCTCCTCCCCCCTTAATTCAAACTTTTCAATACTGAACTGATTTGTGTTTTTCTCTTGCCAATGTGATCAGATGAGCGATGAGGCTCATGGGCCTCTTGTTTAAGGAAAACTAGTTATGTCTACTTTTAGTAAAAATGAAATATATGGAGATAACGATCAGTGTTCAAGCTCAAAAGTCAATAAATTAAAAATGGAACAGAGCAAACACAGACCTCTAAAAATTACAGAGGTGGGATTATGTGACATGCAGGATTGAGCATCTCCTACTAATCGGTCACACCAGCCGCGTGTGCTCCTTGTCATGATCGGGATATAAAGGAAAATTCAGTGTGTGTATGATGGCCTAACAATAACAAAACGCTAATCACTTAATGATGAATTGTATATGTTGACATGGTCATTGTATCGACGATAGAACTTAGGAAATGATGGCTTTACACGAGATTGCTGATATTCTTGTTTCAGCAATTTGTCTGTCAATAATTTATCTCGTTTTAGAAATTGTCCATACGTAGAGCATCAACTGGAAAGATATAAACCCCGTGTACAGACGACGATGGTATATTGCTGCATAAGTAAGGGTTGTTGATGATTAAAAAGCTTAAGTCATCAAGTGTATCATATAGCTTGATAGTTAGATAAACACTAACGTCTTTTTCAAGTAAAATATCTAAATATGAAATAGATATGTCAGACCCTAAGGTATATTTTATTTCATGATTATTTGTTTATCATATCGACATAAGAATGGAAATTACCATTGTTGATTGACAATACGTCGTCGATATATCTAAATTTCGATTTGAAGGCGACAGCAAGTATTTTCTTCCTTTTACGCATAAGATTTTGCATAAATTCTGTTTCATATTAATACAAAAATAGTTCTGCTAACGGGGCACAATGTGTACCCACATTGTTGGAGGACCTGGTCTCCAAAAACAATTAACATATATATCGTCAATCAGGAACTTAAGCATGTTTTTGATGTCAACTTCAGAGTACTTGTGTGTACAATCAGAATGTTTTTTAACAAAATAACTTTGCAAATGACCAACGACAATGTAAGTAAATTTACGAGTTAATTTTTTTTATTGAAAAAGCGGCTGTCAATGACATCAAAAAGCTGGGACTTTAATGGTTGTGATATTTGGTAAAATCTTGTGATTTCAAATTGTCCAAAAGTTCCTTGGAATTTTTATGTATCCTGATTTACACCACTTCTTGAGTACATAATTGCACAGTACTCTTGACATTTCTCCCTCACTACTGTTTCTCCATCACTACTGTTAATATCTTCATAAAGAGTAGAAAGAGGCTTGATTGAACATTTACTGGAATCCGCTATGCATCTTTGATTGTAAGGATTCTTACATCGTCGCAAACCACGGCCAAAATGTTCTTCCATTCAGGAGAGAGCTATATGCAGACTCCGGACCGTGGCTTGAGACGATGGGATTCTTATGAAGTTTCGATATCCAATATACATATATTCATTTTGGCTCTTTGGGATATTAAAAAAATTCAAAACTGGCATATGATTTTGAAGAATTTCTTCCTATGAGTATAAGTAGGATTACCACTTGTAGAATTAAATCCAAGTTATTCTAAAATACAATTTTTATAATGAGCCTTACAAATGCTTTGTCAGCAGGGACTAGTATGTCTGATCATGTAATCTAATTCTTTTTTCACTTTTGGACTATTGAATAAAGATAGATAGATGGTTTGCATATGCCGCGCAGTCTTTTGATACGTAAAAAAAATACTTCTTCAATGTGTTTTATATTGTGTCTAGCCTCTAAAATTGATTATTTTTTTAAATAATTTTTGTGTCGGTGATCTTTTTACTGCTATATATATACTAATATATTAACGTAGTATCTTTATGCCGTAAATAAAAAAAATTAATATCATTCATGTACGATTAAAAGGATATGTAAATAAAGCACTCGTCGTAAAATCCTATGTAAGAAGCGGGGATTTATTTTTGTATGACCCTCGTTTATTGTACTTTTTTATTAAGATCCCTCGATCGGATTAAGATTTAAACTTGTACACTATGTTAGTCTATCATATTTTCATGAATGTGTGAAGTTATGAGAATTCCTGACGGCAAAGATTCAAATACGCATATTGGATAATTAATTGTCATTTTTCAAATATTTTGGAGGTCTAAATGTAAGTATATCTTAGTTTTGGTTTGAAAACAATTATAACTACATGTATTTAAATTGATTGCAAACATAAATTTGTTCTTTTGAATTTAAGATACTACGGTGGAAGTTTTTCAAATTTAGGTCAAATTCAAATGTAAAGTCTCCGTGAATTTAATTGAAATATTCTTGGACTCTCTTTTTTCCTTAAATGTCCTAATCTTTTCCATGATTAATTTGCGAGTAAATTATTATTATCATTAATTAATCATTATCATGTCTTGTGTATTTCTTTAAGAAAAGCAACTATAAAATGTATATAAATACACATGTATTAATTTTATGATAAATATGTACCATTGACGATTTGAGATATGTTTAAACATACCCATCATATAATTTGAGTTTTAAATATTGAATTGAATTTGTAAAAAAAAAAAATAATAATAATAATGCCTCAATAGCACTTAATTATACATGTATTTTCATATTATGAATTTTGTAAATGATGTAATTGGATTAATCATCGAACTGAATAACAAATAGTAATTGTCTTTATCTAATAATGATAAAGGTGAGTACAACCTACCTAAAATCTACATTTCACGTTTACATTTAACTTGTCTTTATCTCGTTAGCAAACACCACTTGCAAAAACTATAAAGGGTTTCACCGATATATACATGTTAAAGTACCAAAGTTTCTAGCACAGAACCTTATGCACCAAAATAAAAAAATGACTTTGGGCAACACACATCCTGTGCTTCTCTTTTCATGTCAAACTAAAAAAAAATCAAGTGATCCGATTTACAGCTAATTAAAATTCACAACGCTTAAATGCATGTGCGTTACGTTTTTAATCGTTTTAAGGAACAGGGCCTTAGTATATCGATGTAACAAACGATAACTCGTGGTTTCCGCGTGATCTTTTGATAGTCATTGAATTATATAGGATTATTTTCCATAATCTAAGCATAGAAATTCAGAAATGTAAAGATTCGCAAGTTTTTCAATGAAAATATGTTTAAACAATTTCTCTATTCTTAGATACTAAGATGTTTTTATTTCAAATCTGAATAAATTTTCATAGTTCTCTACTTCAACAGTCTAACGAATTCAATAGCATTCTCACACCAAACCTTAAATTTCATGTTTTGGAGCAAACAACGCTTTTTTCGCATTTATGTTAGAGAAAAATTAATAGAACTTTAAATTTGATGCGATTTTGATGAATATATAAAATGAATTAAAATGTTTTCAGTTTAAACTAATCTTCAACATCTTAATGGAAGTGAAAATTGAAAGACTTTAAAATATTAATGTAAGAAATCCATCAGTTCAATTTTTCTTTTAAATTATGGAGGTTTTTCTTACTTCAGAACATAGCAATGTATGGACACTAAAATTCCTAAATTAAATTAAGCAAATGTATGGCATTAAACTACTAAATATGTATAAATGTCGGTAAATGACATTTTTAATGTGAAATAAATGATGATGAAAAAGGACAGTGAGCATTCAACCTATTCAATACAAATCAGGAGCAGGGCAAACTCGGACCTCCAA